CACATGACAGACTATAAATCTGATTATTAGAACACGTGAATAAGGGGGAAATGAAGATAATATAAAATTACTGGCCTGTGTATGATCCAAGAACTTGAAGTTGAAGTCTCCCAAATAAAAGGAAACAGCCGTCGCCGAAACTTGATAACAAAACTGGTGGCTTGGAAAAACAGAATAATATCCGAAGAAAATACAGTCACCAAGTATCAAGAAACTGGCCGTCCCCAAATCTTGAAATCACAAAAGTTGATGGCTGGTAACCAATGTAAAATTAAAATAAAGAAACGCAAGAAATTATAATACTGTGAAGCTGCTGAAATTGCGTGTACATATCATCGCAGCTAAAAGGCTGAATGACTTCTCGCTGATGCAGCTCGCAAGAAGTAGTTTCCTAAAACTCATATAAAATTAACTGTGTGCCTAGATACACAGCAGCTAAGACAATTTGACCCTGGACATCTGTTATCACCTTGCCTTGGTCAACTACTTAAGATCAAAATGTGCAGACACAAGACCTAAACCCAGACTACTTCCTATAAACAAAGCGTAGATGGATTACCAACAAAGCTATTACCACCACTAAAAACAAACCATTTCCTACATAAATACAATTAATTATCTTAATTGTAGTTTTTGATCACTTGTTTATCACATAATAACTGAGTTTTGGACATGGTCCAAGCATGAGTAATTCAAATGATATTTTAGATATCTTTAACAGAAAACAAGTCTCTCAGGGATAACCTAATAAGGAAATGTTTCATGGTGACTTGCAACATGAGAATGGAAAATATTTTGCGATCACGCAAATGCAATGAAAAGAAAACAAGTAAATGCATGATCAGTGCCAGAAATAGAGTTTAAATATTTGTGAAGTTGTATGAAAATAGAGTCGTTGAACAAACGCTTGAAAGCTCCAGATTGTTGTTGTTATTATTCTTCACTATAACACCTTTAAAAAAATAAGAAATCATTTTCCTTTGCAACAATGTTTGATAACTATACAAATAAGAAGTAATACAATAAATAGATTAAAGGGATAACAACTCTCCAATATTTCACAGTATATACGTTGTGAACCACTCATGGAAATATAATATATTCTATTTTACCACAAAAATGGCAGTTGAAGCAATTAATTTGCCAGCTGTGCTTGTCATCATATGTGACCTTCATAGATGGCTATACTCTGTAATAATCATTTAAGAGATAATTGCAAAAAAAAAAAAAACAAACAAAAAAACAAGGACTAACTTTGAATGTAGAAATGAATTCGTTAACCATTGATAAGTATGGGAAAATTGCTGTTTACCTAAGGAAAATTCATATTTTGGCCAAAATGAACAGTTGTTATTCCTTTAATAATAAAGTTTTAAAAAGAAATTAAAATGCGTTTCTGAAATCGGAAGAAAATGTTTAAGAAGGGTTCACTTCCCTGAAAATGTAAGAGTCTGCTGTTGCTATGTTAAGATGTAAAATTGTTTTTGACGGTAGTTTTTTTACGTTCCTCCCCCGAAAGTCCCTTTATACCGAATTTTACATGTACATATGAAAAATCAATACCTATACTTGTATTAAATCGCCTGTGAAACCAGTGTGAATTACAGCTATGGCCAGACATAAAGCTACTAATCTCCGCGAGCCCTAGAGGTACATTTCATTCTTCAACATAATTTCTCATTTGTTATTATGTATTTGATAAACCATTCTTACCAGTAAAATTCATATTGCTGTCGTGTGGTATATTAGAGTAAATTGCAATGAGAATTAAACGTTGACTTATTGATTTCAACACTTAATTACGGATTACTCTTATATAAAACACGATATATATACACGTATGCATCAATACACAGTCACATTCAGCACAGCATAATTCTTGTTGTCCCAGCTCTTGTTGTCACAGCTAACGCAATTAGGAACCAGACGACTCACAACATGATGTTGTATCACCTTTTTTTTTTATACGTTGGGCGTGGGCCAACAACGTGTGTTAAGATATATCATGGTATATTACAACTATTAAGGTTTAGGCCTACCAGGGGCGGATCCAGAATTATTTGCAGGGGGGGGGTCTGCGGAAGAGAAGCCGACCCTCAACCCCCTCCCTGGCGTGGGCATCAGGGCCTGCTGAAGGGTCCCGAAATTTTTGGAATTTTAGAGCGCGATTGAGGTCATTTGCCAATTATGTTTCATTTATGTGTTTTTTTTTCAGAAATCGAAGGAGGGGGCTTCAGGCCCCCCTGACACCCTTAAACCTGCCACTGGCTTCATCTCTGAGTCAATAACATTGACATTGTGCTAGAAACGCGATTGGAATTAGGTTTGCTTTAGGTTACAAGGAAAAATTCTTAGGTCGGGTCTTAGTGATGAGGTTAAGAAATGTGGGTATTGGATCCGTATGATGAACGCCCTTGACAACAGATAGAGCCAATTTATTATTATTATTATTATTATTATTATTATTATTAATAATTCAGATATTTTTTGTCAATTAGAATTTTAAACTTATACATTTACCATATACAGTTCAACGTAATTGATCGGCAGTGAAGGCATCAGGCGTATGTTAATATACTCCCAAACCCAAAAATATGTCGCCCCTAACACAATGCGTACAGTAATACAGAAAACCATATCATATACCAGTGTTCTTTATTTCACTTCTAACGGGATAAACAATGTGCAGCAAACATTCCATACACCATTGTGTGTCAACAATGGGAACCAATTTTGAATTTATTTATTTGCTTTTATTCATTATCGATTCAGCTATGGGAAGCGTGCACATATTGACAAACTGGGCTACAAAAGTACATTTGATTATGTGGCTTTCTCAATAGCTTGCTTTTTACACTGTCTCTGGATCTATTGACCTCTCTGGATCTATAAGACAGGGACCCAGGATTACTCCTCTCCCCGCCTCTCTAACACAGCGCATGCCCGCACACACACACACACACACACACACACACACACACGTGCACGCGTACGTCATGACCAAAGCATTGCTTCCACCCACCCACAAATATGCTTCGATGAGGCCAGCATTAGCTGTTATAATTTTACGTTAAGTTTTATACAGGTCATGTTTTGATTCACAGTTGTAATTTCTATTAATGTATTATTTGTCAACCAACATTTTTAGTCACTGAGTATATTGCTGAGTTGTAAGATTGTGTTTTAGGCCTCATGCCATGGGCCTTCAACCGACATTGGGCCAAATAAAGTTCATGCCACAGATAGCGGTTACTACACGGAATAATAAAATTTTGTCAGATTATGATGACTTGTGTTTGTGATAAGATCGAAATTGTATTTTTTTATTCAGTTATTTATCTATGTATTTTTACTTCTCCTGGCACAGAATATATTTCACTGAAAAAATCATCATTTATGTTAAAAACACCCTTTTTAGTCAATTCGTATCTATTAATTTTCCACTTGCTTATTATTAATCTTTATTTTTAACAATCTGTCCCAATTCCAAAGCTGTTTTTACCCGACTGCTGCTAATTCATCGCGAAAAATGATAAATTGGTGTATTTTCACACACTTAGCATCATAACAAATCGATAAGGAACAACAACAACAATTTACATTATGAAAGTTTATGTCTATTTGTAACAGAGTACAATACACCCATTCCCGTCACAGAGCACTTAGCTAATATAGAGCCTAGCTACCGCACACCAAGTTTAAATTATATTGTTGGATGTAAATAAAATTGAAAATTGGATAATTATGATGACAACATTAACGACAACAATAAAACACTTATAATATTTATAATTGCGTGAATGGTTATGTGAATATAACATTTCTTTCATCTTACACCTTGGTTTCTCATTATATATGTTTATAACATGTCGATATGGGCATGATTCTTAACCCTATCCAAGCCATAAGCTGGTACAGTACGCTTTTAACGTAAACTGCAAAACACAACTGTTTGACGAGCAAATGTATAATTGGCGAGAAGACAAAGTTTTCACTTAATTGTACAGATGGTTTCTAGAGTATTACTCTGTTGTAGCTTTGCTTGCTTTGTTTTCATCAGCTTGTTTGTTATGGCAAAACACTACCTTGATTTTATTTATTTCTCTTTCTAATTCCTCGGGATTATCATCCGAAGCCGTCCGTTTACGAGTTCGTTTTTCTTTGCTATGTTTATCTCCCTTGTTCTTAACCATCCCTCCTTTGCTGTGTTGCGCGATTTTATCAATCAAATAAACCCGTTCTGTTTGGTTGTACTTCTGTTCCCAAAACACCAGGCGGCAATCTGTCGTGGTGCCCTTTATAGAAATATGGCAAAGTCGTTTACTAGTTTTTTTGTATCCGCTTCCCAAAACCGATTCATCTGAGTCATAATCTTCAGTGTCTTTGATCTCCCAACTTGAACTATCAGTCAGACGATTTGTATTGCCATCTTTGTCTTCATAACTGTGATCTCCGTTGGATAAAGCCACCAGACAGTTAAATATGTGACCTCGCACCACGTCATGGTATTCTCTGCAATTTCTTTCAAAGCTTCCCCATGATTTAAAAAAGATTTTAGCAAACTTTTCTACTTGGGGCTTGACAGAATGTAACAAAAATACAACCAATGGTACAGGCGGTGGTGCTGTGTCCGCCGAAAGTAGTAAAAAAGAGACATTCTTTGCCAGCATGAAGAAGTTGTGGTTTTCTTTGGCTATATGGAATCTCAGAAACAAGTTAAGGGAAATGATATGGCTTCCTGTTTAACAATGCATGAAGAGATGCAATGTTAAATTTATTTTGGTTCTTGTGTGGTCATTTTAGCTCCAAGGGGTCATCTCTGCGATACAGATGTGCCGCTATGTATTGATAGATTCTACATTTAAATTATGCTACAGGGGACTTTATTCCTTAATTAACTTTTCAAATTTCGGGTAACGATCTGTAACACAGAGGCAATTAATGAGTGGTTAAAACATTTGACTCATTTTCAACATACCTTGTATGGTTTATTACGTAAACAACTAAGTAAAGGATACAGTCGAAGGTCGATTACATCGTCATTTTCCAATTCTAGCTTGTTTATCAGTTCCTCCCATTCTCGTTCCAGTACCAGATTGATGTTGAAGTCATTTACACCATCCACCAGACACGCCTTATGCTGCTTTATATAGTCCCCAATTATGTTCTTTAGGTCGGGTAGAGATTTAATTCCAAAAGTTTGGATATGTAGCTCCTTCAAACCAAAATTGCTTCTGTCATCTTTACGGCGTTTACCTATCAGGTGGCCATAGTCTTTCTTCTTTAAAATGAATCTGGCAACCCCTCCATTGCCACTTCCAGTCATGTTGCTGTCACAAACAGCATCCTTGTTTGGAGGTAGCACTGGGTAAAAAAGTTCTTTTTCGCAGTTTTCCATATAGCTTCTGATGGTAACGACGTCTACATCAGAACTGCTCTTACAGTAGCTGCATTGCCCAATTCATGCATGTTGAGAACAAGCTTGCCTTATGCTTTATAGGATCCTTATGTAAACAGTCACCCTTAGTGACCACACGATGTGCAAAAAGTGATATAAACGCTGGTGTAAGTATTTCGATTTGATGTTAAGTTCCCCCACTCACCTAAACCTCAGTAGCCAATATACCCTATACCATGAGTTATGAGGGTTGGAGTTTATTAAGTCAAAAGTTGGGAAAGGTGGGGAGGATATCATGATCGGTGCGTCATGATAGGTCTAAAATATCAACCAATCAGATTGTAATAAAGAGTATACCTATCTGAGACGGCTATGTAGAACCAATTTTAAGGCAGTGGGTCTCTATTGCAGTATACAGGGTTTCCCTCAATATCGTTTCAAACCATTTCCATTCCGCGATCGAGTGTAATTGCTGTTTATAGATATTGAAAATATACTAAAAATTGAGAAATATTTAAGGCAGTTTACCACACTAAATGTGCCAGTTTTTCGTAAGTCGTCAGTAGCAATGAAGCTCTTTGTTTTCTTGAATAGAAGGCCACTACTAACAAAAATAAGGCTAATTTGACCATGACATGTTATTAAACAAGGAAGTGTGGCGGGTTGTAAGCTTGCGAAGCAGAGACGGTAGGCACAGTTTTCCAAACCCTGAAAGTCGTGTTCGTCAAGTGAGTCTGTACGATAAATGAAGAGAATTATGCTTTGGTAAAATCTCAAAAGTGCGCAGGGTGATTTATAAGCGTGTAGCATCTACACTATAGCTAATAAGTCCCCGGTCACTTTAATAGCCCACGCTGTCTACATCTAACGCGCTAGTGCGCACGTCCCCGTCAGTGTTAATGATAGGGGGATTACGATGGAGAGCGAAAGTTGCTCACAGCGGTAGGCACTGCCGCCGAAGTTAAACCGGTAATTAAGTCTTTAACTTGACTAAACATGTTTTGCTTTGTAACTTGCGTCCTTCGGTCTTGCTGTTGCGGAAGCGCCGGCGGGACATATCTCCACCTTGCCGATATTTATCCCGACTCTCGACTTTAAAAGTATTATTGGTTTTGATTTTATCAAAGTCTTATTATATCAGAAACCTGCATATTTTCATACGTTGAGAGAATTATAGAAACTGTAGAAAAAGCTACTCGTACATCAGGGATAGAAAACAATACTATTATGCGCATAAATATTGATACATGACGCAAACGACATTTACTAATTTCGGTACTATCAATTTTAATTAAAATTAAATTTAATTTAAATTAAAATTCGTCTGAACGTGCATATTACCATACATCGTGTTTAAAGGGTTCTCAACACTTTACATCCTAATACAGTTTGCCAATTCTCATGTTTGCTGGTTTATTTTGATTTCAGAGAAAGCGAGAGAAGACCCTCTACTACGGCCGTTAATTAATTATGAGTATTTTTCTTCAGTGCAAGAGACTGTAATGAAATATCAATCTGTAACTCTGGTATAGGGTGGCCTTGCGTGTGTAATGATATACAAGTTGGGGCAGGGGTACAGTTTTATAGTACAATAAGTCATTTTATACATCTAATTGATCGCATCGTCGGGTCATTGTTTACAATAGCGCTTTGTCGCTGTGCATGCATACCTTTTTGCATTTGAGTTAGACTCAGTCAGTAACAGCTGGTAATTTTGTCTTTTTTTGCGTTTCATTGACAATATTTTGGCCACCTAAGTAGGGAAATGTGGCTCTTTGTTCCTTTGAACACGCAAAAGTCTTCACCAGGAAGCATATAACACTTACGTCAACATACTTGCTTTGTAATAACCACCAAGGGGAAGAAACAAAAGCCTCACAAGGTGTCGTTCTTCACACTGTAAAAGGTGTCAATTTCATGCTTCTATTTTTTGCCCATGAATCATTATGACAAAATTGTAGGGTTGCGCAGCCTGGGATGAGTGATACTTGACTGACCTTTGTTTACATCTGGAGATTCTCTTTATAATTCGATCAGCGTGCATAAATTGTGATATTTTCCATCTGGAAAAATACGTGATAATGTAACGATTCTTATTTTACGGATACATAATTACAAAAATTAATTCCTGATATAATACCCCCTATTTCAGCGCCTATTCCTGGCTGCGTTAATTATGGGGGGTTGGAAAGTAATCCGTTAGGACGCGGGAGTGATGATTGCTACTCTTACCAACGGTACATCACCGATCAACTAAACTCAGCCACCTGAAGCAGAATCACCAACAAAAGACAAATTGGACTACATCTGCCCTCTTGTTGAAACATCTTATGTAAAAATGGCGATGACGGTCAAAACATACGTGCTTCGTGGTTTATTAAATGTTCATCGTATTTTTTCGTTCATTATTCTTATGAGTTAAGCAGCTTCACCTCCGTGACACCCTTTTTATTTATTTTAACCATTGTTAGATTAACCATGGGTTTCACTCCATATACGATCGAGCAAGTGATCATGCGGAGAGTGTAGCATGCTATAGTAAACTACCCAACATACATTTGTATATACCCAACACCTCTAGGGTTTCACGATCGAGCAAGTGATCATGAGGAGAGAGTGTAGCAGAGAACTTCATTAATGGTCGCCATAATTGGTGGTTGCCTTGGGAAAATGAGTTACATGATTACATAATACAGATACATGATAACATAAGATTAATACTAAAACTTTCCCTGATACAAAATCCCCTATTTCAGCGCTTATTCCTGACTGCGTTAATTACGGGGGATTAGAAAGTAATCTGTGAGGACGCAGGAGCGATGATTGCTACTCTTACCAACGGTAAATCACCGATTTACTTGACTCCGCTACTTCTAGCAAAATCACCACCAAACGACAAATTAGACTACGTTCGTCCTCTTATTAAAACAAAAAATGTAAAAATGTGATGTCGGTCAAAGAAGAGGCCTAGGCTACGTGCTTCATGGTTTATTAGATATTCATCATATTTTTTTAGTTCATTATTATAGCTTCACCTCGCGAGACCCTTTTTATATATTTAAAACACAGCACTCCACGGGTTTCGCGATCATGAAGAAAGGGAGTGTAGCAAAGTAAAAGAGTGTAATAATTTGTGGTTGCATTGTAGGCCTAACCTTGTTCATTTTAGTCGACAGACTAAGGTAGAAGAAAGAACAGATCATTATCGCCTCTCTTTACTTAGGAACAAAAACGTTAGCTAGTAGCAGCATTTATAAGTTCTTTTATTTAGAAACTTTCCGATCCTTTGTCTGGGACTGCCGTTCAACGCCGTATAAATGACGTCCGAGAAACGGCGATAACGACAGAGACGTCCTCGAACATTTTTGGACTCAGTGAAAATAAAAAAATCCGTTATGAAAGTAGCCTTTTAATGTCCTGGCAAATAACTTTGCGATGGCTCAGAGAGTTCTAGAATGAATGACAAGAAACGACATTGGGGTTAATAATAGACTAAAAACTATCAGAGTGTAGGCCTGTCTTATTTAATTTCTAAGGCCATCTTGTGATACGAGTCATGCTACACTTCAATAGAGGGGGTATCAGGTAGCAGTGGATGATCTTATACAGGGATACCATCGATAGTATATTAATAGAAAATCGCGATCCTCTAATGTTGTTTTAATTCATTAAATATAAACGGTCTTTTCTCGTGCAAAGGGTCCGGTATAGTTGTATTGGCCTATCAGTTGGAAACCTGTGGTTCGTCTACAATTGCAAATGGCGGAGGTGCCGTCGTAAAATTAGCTGGATACGTGCACGTGAGAAAATTATTCATTTAATTTAGTTTTCAAGCTTCAGCTTAATCTGGTAAAATGCGAGACGAAAAAATCATAGATAGAGCCTTATGACCCACTGTAGAATGATGCCGAATAATACATCAACGACGTAGTTTATCGGCAGATAAACCTTTTTCCATTCTCGGCTGACTGAGGAAAGGTTTGAGAGAGCAGTTAAAGAAGAGGCGGGCGAACCAATAGTGAGTAGGAAGTGTGCTGCAATCAAGACGAACAATACCGATCATAAGTGGACAGCTAATAACCCCTAATTAACCCCGGGTTACGCGCTGCTGTGTTGACTCCTTGCTGCGGAGCGGTAGCGGCCTCCTACTGCTGTGAGTAATCACGCATTGTCTTCTAACTTGCGGCTTAGTTGACCCCTTGCTGGGAAGGGGTAGCGGCCTCATACTGCTGTGCGTAATCACACATTGTCTTCTAACTTGCGGCTACACGTCGGTTGCATTGTATTAATAAAGTAATACCTATTCATAAGGAAGGAGGCGGATGGTAATCTTACGAGAATTAAATCAGTTATCGATCTTACGCGTACCAGTAGTTTTGTTTTTTAATAGCTAAACGGTAAATGTATGAGGTTTGGGGCAGAGGCTAACCCCACTTGGGTGGGATCTAGGCATTCCCTATACTGTAAAAACACAGCTGCTATCGATTATATCGACTGAAAAATGTTGGCATGTATTTAAGAGCAAGCTCAAGCTTTTGGACCATTTTGCTCATATTATTTATATGATTGACATTTAAGGTACGAAAATACTTGCAAAGACATCCCGATTTGCGACAGCACACTTATGGCAAACCGTCGCTCGTTTCCTGAAAAAATGGCTGGACGAAATGTTAGGTGAGTCTTATTAAAGAAATTTTATTGTAATTTACTATTTTTTATTGTTATTAGGCCTACTACTCTGGGGCCGGTTTCACAAAGCAGTAGTTAGTTAGAACAACTAACTACTGAACTAACTCGCTAACGAGCAAACTTAGCGATTTTCGAGGGGTGTTTCACGAAGCAGTAGTTAACTTATCGCTAAGTTCAGTCGTAAAGTTCGGTCGTTAGTTCTCTCGTTACTCACCTTAGTCTCGAAACCGTCTGCCGGAAGTGGAACTCTTGCGTAAAAGTGTCACGAAAGCACTAACTCTCCAATTTTTGGTGGCTGGAAATGCATAAGAACGTCTGCTTTGAGGTCGTCGTAAAGGATCTCCACCACCTTTTTGCCGCTCTTTTTGTCACAGCTAGGCGCAACCTCTCGTAAATTGCATCATCGTATGTATATTATAATAGATTCTGCCTTTCATGAAAACGTCGTAGTCTACGTTGCCGTCTGGCGGTACGGATAGAAAGAAAGGTAGCCGCCATATTGGATAGAAAGACAAACGACAGACAACGGTAACTAAGCAACCTTTTTATTT